TGAAGTGGGGCCCCTCTCCTGGTTGGCACTTCTTGTCTTCGGTCCTCTGAGAGGCTTGCCTGCAGCAGTGGGCTCCCCGTCGCTCCCCCCCCATGAGGGTGCAGAAGCTGGTCACAGAGCAGGGCCACACTCCGGGGGTGCGTGGTGCCGGGCCCCCTGCTGCCAGGATGACCTTCCTCTGGGGTCTCAGCATGGGCTTTGGAACTCCTCTTTCTCTTGTTTGGGCTTGTGGTAATAGAGGGGCTTTATTCCCGTGATAATGTGAAGTGCCTGCCCGTGGAAAGCACCTCATTGTATCTGCAGGCCCTGGTGCCGTGGTGGGCACTCCGTCTCGAATCCCCAGTGGGGGCACAGGCCCAGTTCGGAGGTGTGTCTCTGTGGGGTCGGGGCCACGACCACTGCCCCTGTGTGAGAAGCTCTGCGGACACTCATGTGTACCTACATGGGTGTGTGTGCTTGAGCATGCGTGTACGTGGCTGGGGGTGGTGAGGGCTTGTGGACCCGTGATGGACTCAGTGAGGTGAGAGGCTCTGGGAGGAGCCCTCAGAGTCTACGGCACTGAGGTCCCCCCACCCCGGTACCTGCGGGTCCCACCAGAGCCAGCGCCGACTGGAGGCCAGACTGAGTGGTCTGGGAGGCTGGGTAGGCCAGGCTACAAGAGAAGGCCCCATTATCCCACATGGCCGCTTGCTCGGACCTTTGGGGAAGGTGGCGGGGACAATGAGATGAGGACTGCTTGATCTGAACATGCATTGGAGTCATTGTGCTTTTCTGGGGTGTCTTTTAAACACTGGAAGGGTGAGCTTATAAACCTGCCAGAAGCTAGGGTACCCCTGGGCCCTCCAGCCCACCTGGCCCCAGCCCCCAACCTCCACCCCCAATCCCTCCCACCACCAGCCCTCAAGCCCAAAGTTTACCTCCCACCAAGGCCCTCATGCCCCCTTCTCAAGGCCACCTGTACCCATCCCCTCCCTTGGCCTTCACTGAGCCCCGAGGCTGTGGAGCCCTTTGACCACCATCCCTCTGCTGTCCCAGGCAACCTCCTCCAGATCCAGCAATGTCGGCCGGGTGGGAAGAGCTTTCGCAGAGAAATGGTTGTGGTGGGGAGACCACGCAGAGGGGCAGCTCTCCCCCTCCAGACCTAGGCCCTACTTTCTCATGTCTCTCCTCCCCAACCCAAGGCTCTTGAAAGGACCCCTTCACTTAGTTTTCTGGAGCAGAAGATGCTTCTTTCTTCCAGACACAGATGACAGAGTTGGGGCTGAGTGAGGGGCTTCAGACTTGGGGAAAGGCTTTGCCAGCAGACTTGGAAGTCATGGGGGTGTCCATCTATGGGGGAGGGCCAGGGAGGCCCTGAGGCATCAGTGGCTTCTCGGACAGGGCTGGGGGTTGAGGGATGGGGCCTTGGGCTTGCTTCCCTGAAGGTTTGGGAGAGGCTTCCAGAAGTGTCATCCAAGATCCCTGGAGCAAACCACCTGAGCACCCAGGAGGAAGGGGTACATCCCATGGGTGCTGCTGGGGAGGCTGTCAGGGTCAGTGGGGAGAAAGAGGGGTTTCCCCAGGGCAGTGGTGTCATGATGGGAGGACCCCACACCTTCTGTGGGGCATGACCTGGGGCATTCCTAAGTTGGGACCTGCCGGGGCCCGTTACTACTAACGGATTCCTTTCAAACCTCAGAATACTTATCTTGTTCTGAAGCACTTTATAAAATTGGCTTTAGTGTAGGAGCCGTGGTGCTGGCGTGAAAGAGATGGGAGTAGACCCCAGGTGCAAGTCTGACATGTGAGCCCCTGGGGAGGGGTCTTCAGGCAGACAGCTGAGGCTAATGGGACACACGCTATGACCAATTTCAGAGCTTTAGTGGAAAGCACGCAGAGCTGAGGCTTGTTCCTGTGAAAGCCTAATGCACAGGCCCCCTCCCAGGCATCTCACCTTGGGCCATTTGAAGAGAGTTTGAAGAGAACTAAAGTTTCAGAGAGTAATTTAGAAAACCTGCCCTGGATCCAGGGGCGGCCAGTGTCAGGGAAGCTGCGTGTTCACTTCTTGGGGTGACAGTCTGCTCACGGTGGGCCCCTCACTGAGCCCCCAGTGCCCGAGCAGCCTCGGGTGGGCATGCGGGCCGGAGCTGGGGCCCCAATCCCTGGGGGTCTGCTGATGACGGGATGACAGAGCCCAGCAAAACTGCCCTTGTCCCCTCACACGTGCGTACCTCTGAACAGGAACACTGTGTTTGGGGGCTCGGGGACTCCTGCCTCTCTCCTGAAAGAATGAGAGGCCCCATGCTGTTTAGAGCAGGGGAGGCAAAAAGATCAGATTTCTAGAAGGACCCTCTCATGGCAGCATGGGGAGTGGTCTGTGGGTAGAAGGTTCAGGTCTTTGTCTTGTTGCTCTAACAAAGCACCAGAGGCTGTGGGGTGTATAAACAGCGGAGGATGGAAGCCCCAGATCAGGGTACCCACGTGGTCGAGTTCTGGTGCGAGCCCCCTTCTGGGTGACAGACGGCCGCCATCTCTGTGTCCACATGTGACAGAAAGCAGGCAAGGGTGCTCTCCGGGGTCCCTTTTATGAGGGCACAGACCCCATTCCTGAGGGCTCTACCCCCTGACCTCCCAGCTCACCTCCCAGAGGTCATACTTCTAATACCATCCCATGGGGGGTTAGGGCTTCCGCAGGGATTTTGGAGGGACCCAGACAGTCCATTGCAGTTCACACGGGCTAGGCGAATGCCATCCTTGGGTCCAGGATGGAAGGAGGCGGTGGTGGTGGCAGAACTGGACAGAGACACACTTGGGATAGGTTTGGTGGCAAATCGGAGGGACAGCCCTCGGGGATGGGCTGGATACGGGGGTGAAAGCCTGTGTAGCTGGGATGGGGGTGGGGTCTGAGATGAGGAACTGGGCTCAGTGCCTGGATGGAGCTTTGCTTTGGGCACATCGAGAGGGGGCCATCCCAGGGAGCCAGCAAGTAGGCTGTTGAGTATGTGGGGTTGGGGTTCAGAGAGCCACGGTGTCCTTTGCCAGCACCGAGTCCACAGAATGCCCGCATTCCATGGCCTCATGGAGGAGGATGAGCCTGCAGGGAGCTGAGAAGGAACAGCCAGAAAGGGAGGAGGAGATGATGACCACAGGCCCCCTGACGTGAGGGTACGGAGGTTGCGCGTAGCGTTCGCTTCGGTGGTGTTGGAGCGGGGAGGCAGCGGCCAGGTGGGGACATGCTGAGGAAGGGGTGCAAGCCAGACAGGCAGTTCTTTCTAGACATTTGTCCTCCAGAGGGAGGAGGGAGGGGGTCCACGGGAGGCGGGGATGTGGGGAGGGGGGCTTTTGAACCCGCCTGGGGACACGGGAGGATATTTAAGAGCTGTAGGAAGACCCAGCTGATATAGGACTTGGTTCAGAGAGGGATGGGGTCGCAGGTGACCCTCCATCCCCAGCGGGGACCTGCCACACGGGGAGCGGAGGTGATGCTCTGTCGAGTACAGCCAAGGGAGGGGCAGCTGGAGGTTTGAGGAGATGGGGGAAGGTATGAAATGGTGCTTGCCCAGAGGGAGAGGGGGCACTTCTCAGGGGCATCTTTCGAGGTCACCAGCAAGTTTTGAGGGCATTTTGGTCCTTGAATTTGGAATGGAACCAGTCTGCCTTGTTGGGCGGCTCTGGCTCTTTCCAGCTGCAGGCCTGCAGGTAACAGGTGGTTGGAGTTGTGCCGAGGCCCTGGGGCCGACAGGTGGGGCGGGGAGTCGAGGGTGTTGGGCAGATGTTATGGGACTGGTGGAGAGCGGCATCCAGACTAGGCAGGTTGATGCCTTTAGCAGCAGAGTGGGTCAGAGGGGAGAACACGGAACAGCTAGGTGGGGGGGGGGGGGGGGCAGGGGGGACTGCTGGTCATGGGGACCGGGGAGCCACAGGACAGCCAGCCCTGTGGACCCTGGAGTGAGGGGGAGCCTGAGAGCCAGAGCCAAGGTCCCTCAGAAGGAAGGGTCTGGCCGAGGGGTGGGCAGGGAGAGAGAAGAAGGCAGTGACACGGAAAGGAAGGCCGAGCGATGGTCTATAGGTTAGACTGTGGACCCAGGGCCAAATTCTCCCAGCCACCCGGGTCCGTGCATGAGGTTTTCCTGGAGCACAGCCGTGCCTGCTCATAGACAGATGGCCTGGGCCTGCTTTTGTCCTCTGGATGCAGAGGTGACTGGTTGCACACAGACCGCAAAGCCTAAGATATTTTCCATCTAGCTCCTCGAGGAAAGGGTTTGCTGACCTTACCTACAGCTGCCTGTCCAGGACAGGAGCCACTAACCACATGTGGCTATTTCTATGTAAATTAATTAGATTGCATAAAATTTTAAAAATTTCCTCTTGCAGTAGGCCCAGTTCAAGTACTCCAAAGCTGCACGTGGCTAGTGGTTCCCATATTAAACCGCACCAAGCTAGAACATTCTACATCGTGGCAAAAAGTTCCACTGACAGCAGTGATCTAGAGGCAGCGGGGGAAGCAAGGACCATGTTACCCAGTGGTGTATGGGATGAGGGTGTATGGGATGTGTGTGGAATGTGGGGACCCACCCAGGTGGGCATGTGACAGGACCAGAGCCCTACAGTGCAGAAATGGAAGAGAAGGCCCCATAAGAGCTAGAGGGTAGTGGGCAGTTTCTGCTCCCTGCCCTGAGTCCCAGAGGGCTCTGGGGCAGGCACAGAAATGCTGTACGGTTTGGGAAAGCGCGTCTCTGGGATTGCAGCATGTGGTTTTCACCTTGGAGGCTGAGGTGCCCTGAGTGACAACTGCCCGAGGCCCTGGAACTGTCCTCCTGAGCCATGCACGTGGACTTTTCTGGCCTGGGTGTTGATTTTGCATAGTTCCTCGCACCACACACCGTGCGGGATGAGGGAAGGAGACTGGCCTCCTTCTGCAGGCTGCAGATGGGCGATGGGTCAGCCCTTCGCCTTTGTCCCCTATCCCCGCGGCCTTGTTGCTTTGTCCTCTGGGAGGATGCTAACTGTGCCCTCATCAGTTCCAGGGCCCTGTGAACCAGAAGACCTCATTGATGGGATCATCTTTGCTGCCAACTACCTGGGGTCCACCCAGCTGCTCTCAGAACGTAACCCTTCCAAAAACATCAGAATGATGCAGGCGCAGGAGGCTGTCAGCCGGGTCAAGGTACTGGTAGGCGTAGCAGAGCCCTGGTTCACTTTGGGGGAGGGGGCACTGGAGTGGGGGTGGGTGACCCCACAGCCCTCAGCACGGAGAGCAGGAAGGCCTGAGGCGCCTGGCGAGGCCAAGCGCGACTTTGGCCTGTCTGGAAGAATGCTGGGGTCGGGGGCAGGGGCAGTTGGCTCGTTCACGAGGAACCACCACCCGGCCACCCTGAGTACGATTTTTAAAGGCGATTGGTCCACAGCATTCCACTCATAAAACATGTTGGGATGGAGCCTCAAGTCCCATTTTGATGGTATGTGTGTCTTTGGCACCAAAGTGCTTGCAGAATGGGAAACAAATCCCATGTGTCAATTAAATTCATGACCTCAAGAAACACTATGATGTGCTCGCTGCGCTGGGTACACATGGAATCGCCTGGTTGTGAACAGTGGGTGCAGCCGGGCAGGGGGAGGATGAGGCCAAGTCCGCAAAGCTAATGGGGTCCAGGGAGAAGGGCAGGGTGGTCCACGGAGGTGCCCCCTCTGGGCAGGAGGGGGTCCTTGGATGCTGCCAGCCCCTGGGGCTGAGAAACCACGTCAGGCCCTTCCTCTGTCCTCATTGTGCACCGACCTCCTTTATGGAGGCACAGGGGCCTGGGGCACGAGCCCATGGCGGCCAGGAGAAGAGAAGCGCAGAGCCTAGGGCCCTCCTGCCCCACACCCAGTCCTGCTCCTCTGCCTGAAAGCCCGGCTCTCCTCTGCAGACCAGTGGCATTGCTCCGTCCGTCCGTCCCCAGTCTCGTCCTCGCAGATCTGGGGGGTGGTTGGTGATTCCCAGCGCTCGAGGGACGCGTGGGGGTGCTTCTTGTGGTCAGTGTGTGTGCTCGTTGACATGGCAGCCACCCACCCATCCTGCCCCTGCAGGGGGGCTTCCCCTGAGCACAAGGTCAGAGTCCCAGGGTGTTGACACAAGACCAAAATAACTTGGCCGCCCGTCCTTCTCTTCCTTTCGTTCTTCCTTTATCCGTTTTTCTTTTCTCTTACATGCTGCTCAGAGGATGCAAAAGGCTGCTAAAATCAAGAAAAAAGCGGTGTGTAGGGCTGAGGGGTTTGCCTGGGTTTCTGGGCCTCATCCTGTGCAGTTTGGGGGGGGGCGGTCCCGTTTGTAGGAACATACATCATGTGGCAAACAGCTTTTTCCTCTTCCCTTGGTAGATAGACTTCTGAACAAAACCACAGACAAGTTTTTAAATTTTTAACCACCCACTTACAGAAGAATCTCATCATTGCCCTTTTTATAAATTTCTTGTTTAGTGTCTCCTGTGCTAGAACGTGGTTAATGCCGCGATATCACTGTTTCACACAGACGTTTTTACGGGTGACATTTGATATGATCATGTGACACATTTAGCACTTAGGCCTCCTGTACAAAATTAATTAAACTGTTCTGATATTTAAAGACTCATTAAGCTTAATTTACTAAATCAGGATGATGGTGAGAAGGTCAATTTGCCCAGGAGATGCGTTCCCCACTGGAAAGAGTTGCTGCAGGGCATCTGGGTGGCTCAGTCGGTTAAGCATCTGACTCTTTTTTTTTTTTTTTTAAAGATTTTTTTATTTATTTTTTGCCAGAGAAAGAGACAGCGAGAGAGGGAACACAAGCAGGGGGAGTGGGAGTGGGAGAGGGAGAAGCAGGCTTCTCGCTGAGCAGGGAGCCAGATGTGGGGCTCGATCCCAGGATCCTGGGATCATCACCTGAGCCGAAGGCAGACCCTTAACGACTGAGCCACCCAGGCGCCCCAAGCATCTGATTCTTGATCTCAGCTCAAGTCTTGCTCTCAGGCTCGTGAGTTGAGGCCCTGCATTGGGCTCCACGCCCAGTGTGGAGCATACTTTAAAAAAAAAAAAAGGGTAGGGGAAAGTTTCTGCAGCATGAGCCAACATTAAAAAAAATCAAGTTGACTTCCAGTCATTTGTTTGTAAACCTGGTCATTTAGTAAATGCTGGGTCCTCCCAATACAGGAAATCTCAAATGCTCGGGGTCAGAAGGCACTGATTTGGTGCAGGCTTGTTGCTTAAACGGCAAGAGATTTAGTCCTCCATTCCCCACCTAGAAAACCATTTTCTGTCTGCGTGGCCACAGGAGCCTGTCTGGGCGCTCCCTTCCTCCTGCGGTGAGACTTCTGTCCCTGTGATATTTGCTCTTTGCCCAGTGGTGTCTCCTTGGATTCCTTGCGCTGTAGGAGAGGAAGGAACTCACCCATCTCCCTCTGCCCAGCGAGCGTTCTGCTCGGTGCCTCCAGGCAGCGTAGATGGGCCTGGCTTTGCAGAGCTGTAGTTGGGGTAGGCTTCCCCCCAAGGGAGAGGGGCGCCTAGCCTGCAGTTTGCCCAGGGCACCCCTAGGCTGCCCAAGCACCAGGCAGCTGGAGCGGGGCTCTGTTGTACGCCGCAGCCCGGTCCTCGGTCTGCTATCCGGGGACCCCAGAGGGGCCTGGAGCGGGTGCATCCAGCTCGGAGCAAGCCTCTGCAGCCTGCTGTAAACCTGGAGAGCTGTTCTTCCCTGCAGGCAAGGAGATGTTCGGGATCGTTGCTGAGGGCCCCTTTTCTGGTCTGCTCACATCTGGCCAGGCAAGTGCTGAGAGGAGGGTGCTTCACGAGTCTGGGACCAGGAGGAAGCAGTGTCCCCCGCACAGCTAACCTGCTGGTGACTATGGGGTCATGGCCCCCCCATCCGCAGACATGCCCACCCTCTTGCCTGGTGGCCCTCTGTTGGATTCCTGCTATTGACACTCCCCCTTTCCTCCAGCAGAGCGTATCACGGGGCAAGCTTTGCTGTTCCCTGTTGCCGATCAGGTTTTGGCTTCATCTGTTCACCCCCAGTTTGAGCCCGCTCAGCTTCACGTTTGTCACTCTTCTCTCATTAAGTGCACAGGACTCGAGTTTCCTCCAGAAACTGTCACGAAAACCAAGTCCACCTGCAACTTACTTTCTTTTTTTTTTTTTTTTGCTTCTGGCCCAACCTACTTTCTCAAGCAAGAGGGTTTTGAGGAACAATCCTGTAATATGTAACGTTTAAAAGCTTGTGGGCATACACTATAATCCGGTTTTTCAAATAGAGAAAAAGTAGTTCCTCTACATTCCTGCAGACTGTTTTCAACTGGGTAATTTTGAACTCTCTTCTCTTTTAAAAGCAGTTAAAAACAGTGTCACCTCATGGTGGGCTGGAAGCCCCAAAGACCTTTTCTCTTGAAAACTGAGCTGCAATACAAATTTATCAATATTATACAGGGCCTCTCTGCGACTCTGGTTTCTTGAGGAATTGTCAGCAGGGGGATTTTAGATTTCGGATTTTTTAGTGAGGAATTAAATCACAGTTTCTGCTCTTTTGAAGTGGAAGATATGCCATTGTGGGCCCCCAGTGACCATAAAGAATTTCTTACCTCAGTGGGTAAACCGGAAGAGTTTGTATCTCATTTCCACTGTGCAGTAGTAATTAGGATTCCCATGGTTGTAAAAAGCAATGAAAATCTGTCTTGGTTTAGAGCAGACCCTGAATACATAGTTCACTCAGCTTCTAGAACATTCCGTGGACACATAAGTAATGGCCATGGGATGAACACACTCCAGGAGCTGACAAAACAGGGGCGTTTGTGTGACAGCTTCTTCTGGTTTTTCCCATGTTGCTGGGAGGGCAGCACTGAGTCCTGTTGGGGTCTTGCTTCCCTTAGGGTTTTTGGAAGATCAGCATTAAGCCTGCTTGGGGGTTGACATAACTAGGACTATTTAAATCAGAAGAAGATGCTGACGCTCTAATCCATCGTCTTTGAAAATTCCTTCCCCATTTCCTGGGGATATTTGGAATCCCAAATCCCGGAAACGTATGTAGCCCGAGTACACAGATCCTGTGCCTTTGCCGAGTTTGATAAGGGTTGGCAGGCAGGCCTCCTTTTTAGGGAGTGGAGGGGCTGCGCTTTGGATGCTGGGACCCAAGACCCCAGGCGTCTGGCCCCCCTCCATGCTCAGGCTTCCGGAAGCTGTCTCCTCCCTCCTTCTTCACGCCCTGTGCTAACTGCCTTTAGAACTCACTTCGCTAAGGATTGTGCTGGAAGGCGGCATGCAATTTAGATTTCCCATGGCTGCTGCAAGCTGGAGTAGCATTTCCCTCCAGGGGCGCTCAGGGTCATTAGTAAAATTGTCAGGCCTTTGTTCAAGTTAGTTTTTTTTTTTTTTTTTTTTAATTTGTAACAGTATCCACTGTCCTTTCTTAGAATTCGGAGGGGGATGCCCAGACTCTGACCGAAGTGGATCTCTTCATCTCCACCCAGAGGATCAAGGTGTTAAATGCGGACACACAGGTAAGCGTTTTAAAGACCGCTGTTTAAAATCATGTACTTAAGCCCCTAACTTCCCACCTCAGGGACTAGAGGAGAACGAAGTCTGGCTGCGGGAGAACTTTCCCTCTGGGAATGAGCTGAAGGGCTGTCCCCCAGGACAGTTGCTCCGGACCCCCGGTCTTGAATGAGTTGTGGTTGTAGAATCTCGAGCGAGCTGCAGGGGGCTGAGGAGCACCAGGCTGGGAAGAGAAAAGCCCGCGGTGTAGGTTTGCCGCAGCTGGGATTAAGTAGGCAAAATGAAGGGGAAGGAGCGGGGAGTCGGAAGCTGTGTGCTCACCATCAGGATTCTAGAAGGGCCTTCCTGAAACCTGTGCATGCCAGGCCTGGGGAATCGAGTGGGAGGGTGGAGATGCCGTGTGAGCCCTCGGCCCTCTGAGTGGGTGGTCTTCCAGCAGGGGTGGGGCTGTCTTAAGATTTTCTACCTGTGAACCCTGTGCTGTGGTCAGGTTCTACTCATTTTTCCTGGGCTTTCATCACTGCTGTTGGTGGAGAAGACAGATCTGTGAGGAACAAGTGAGCCGAGGAGAAGGAGGGAGGAGGCCAGGGGCATGGGCCAGAGGGAGGGAGGGGTCGGGAAGGCCTCAGGCAGTGCTGTGTCCTTGAGGTTTGCTGAGGGAGAGGGAGGCCCCACTGTCCCTGGGGTCAGACCTCCATTCCTGGGCCCGTTGGAGGACGGAGGACGGCCAGATGCTGGAGTAATGACCCCTTTGCTTCTTTGTCATCAGCAAGTAATCTGTGTGCTGACACTCCGGATGTGTGGGGACCCTATTCCCCAATACCCATTTTGCCTGCAGGTTTTGGCACCCAGTGATCATCTTGCTTGAGTTGGTTCCAACACCGGAAGTAAAAAAATGGTGCATTTCCTAATTATCTCATGCTCTCCACTTTTATTATCAGACCTTGCCCCGTGCAGAAGACTTCTTGTTTCTTTCTCTCTCTCTTCACTGTGGACCGATGAATTTTTTTAACTTGTGTTTTAATTATTATCCTCATTATTCTTTTTGGCGCTCTGGTGATCCCCAATTCAGCCAGAGACCTTTAAACTGGGTCCTGTGTGGCTTTGACATCTTCCCTTTAGTCGCTGATCACGTCCTTGCTTTCCGAGGTGGTGAGGCATTCCGAGCTCCCCTTACGCTTTCCCTGCCCCAGACCTGGAATCAGCCGTTTCTTCGAGGAGCTACACACAGTTCCTTTTCGTGGGGAACAATATTACAGAAACAAAGACCTGGGTGCTGGCCGTGTTCACCGTCGCAGGGGTCTCCTTGTTCCTGGGCCCTTGCAACAAACAGAGCTAAACAGTAAATGTGTTTTATTTATTTATTTTTAATTTTTTATTGTTATGTTGATCACCATACATTACATCATTAGTTTTTGATGTAGTGTTCCATGATTCATTGTTTGTGCATAACACCCAGTGCTCCATGCAGAACGTGCCCTCTTTAATACCCATCACCAGGCTAACCCATCCTCCCAGTCCCCTCCCCTCTAGAACCCTCAGTTTGTTTTCCAGAGTCCATCATCTCTCATGGTTCGTCTCCCCCTCCGATTTCCCCCCCTTCATTCTTCCCCTCCTGCTATCCTCTTCTTTTTTTTTTTTTCTTAACATATATTGCATTATTTGTTTCAGAGGTACAGATCTGAGATTCAACAGTCTTGCACAATTCACAGTGCTTACCAGAGCACATACCCTCCCCAGTGTCTATCACCCAGCCACCCCATCCCTCCCACCCCACCCCCCACTCCAGCAACCCTCAGTTTGTTTCCTGAGATTAAGAATTCCTCATATCAGTGAGGTCATATGATACATGTCTTTCTCTGTTTGACTTACTTCGCTCAGCATAACACCCTCCAGTTCCATCCATGTTGTTGCAAATGGCAAGATCTCCTTTTGATGGCTGCATAATATTCCATTGTATATATATACCACATCTTCTTTATCCATTCTTCTGTTGATGGACATCTTGGCTCTTTCCACAGTTTGGCTATTGTGGACATTGCTGCTATAAACATCGGGGTGTACGTACCCCTTCGGATCCCTACTTTTGTATCTTTGGGGTAAATACCCAGTAGTGCAATTGCTGGATCATAGGGTAGCTCTATTTTCAACTTTTTGAGGAACCTCCATACAGTTTTCCAGAGTGGCTGCACCAGCTTGCATTCCCACCGACAGTGTAGGAGAGTTCCCCTTTCTCCGCATCCCCACCAACATCTGTCGTTTCCTGACTTGTTAATTTTAGCCATTCTGACTGGTGTGAAGTGGTATCTCATTGAGGTTTGGATTTGGATTTCCCTGATGCTGAGCGATATTGAGCACTTTTTCATGTGTCTGTTGGCCATTTGGATGTCTTCTTTGGAAAAATGTCTGTTCATGTCTTCTGCCCATTTCTTGATTGGATTCTTTGTTCTTTGGGTGTTGAGTTTGATGAGTTCTTTATAGATTTCGGATACTAGCCCTTTATCTGATCTGTCATTTGCAAATATCATCTACCATTCTGTCGGTTGTCTTTTGGTTTTGTTAGTAAATGTGTTTTAAAATAAAGCCCGGAGTTCATACTTGTACCGTTGTCTGCAAGGAAGACGGCTATGCCAAGGGCATGTGGCCAGCAATCAGGAGATGCCGAAGAGCCATCCCCGACAGTTCCCCATCTGGCCCCCCCTCCCAAAAAGTGGCTCTTGTGGTTTGAAACCAGCCCCCCAGCCTTGGCCAGGAAACAAATCAGCTCCTGGAAGACAGACGTGGGGTAGTATCTGCTATGAAAATGGATTCTGTGAGGAAGAAAAGGGGCTTCCGAGGTTGCAGAAGCAGCCAATTTTTCTCTTGTGGAAAAAGCACAAAGGCAATAAAAGACCAACTGATGAGTTTCTCAGAGCCTTTGTGTGCAGCCTTGTTAGGTAGGGGTCATGCACACGACGCTCTGTCAGATGACAAAAGCCATCAAGAGTAATGGACCTGCCAGGAGCCGAGGGAGTTGAAAGGCCACAGAGACCCATCCGTCAGTCAGGGGAGCTGCCTCAGTGTCCCCTGACCAGGGCCTGCACTGCTTGGGCTCCCTGGGAAGAACTCACCTTTGGAATGATGAGCCTTCCTCATCTGCTAGGGAAAGGCACGTGCCTTGCAGGGAAGGGACCCTTCTTCAGAGCCACAGACCGCCTCTGATCGGGTGGGGACAGGCTTCACCTGCTGACAGCCTCCCCACTCTTCCTCCAGCAGGAACCAAGAGCTCTCCCTGACGTCGTGCCTCCAAGAGCAGCGGGAGGGTGCTGTGGGGCGAAGGTAGATTCACCTTGACTGTGCATCACTGCCCTCAAACGCTCTGTTCCCTAGAGCAGTGATTCTCAACCAGGGTGATGTTGTTCCCCATGAGGACATTTGGCAGAGGCTGGAAATACTTTTGGTGGTCACAACCTGGGAACGGGGTGATGGCTACTGACACCTACTGGCTTGAGGCCAGGGATGCCGCTAACCATCCTACAGTGTACGGAACCGCCCCTCACAAGAAAGAAAGACCCACCCCCCAAAGATCATTAGTGTCAAGGCCAAGAAATCCCGGACTTGAGTGTTTTTTTGATGGCTTGTTCTCCCTAATGTTTCCTAACCTGGATCCCCCCCACTCCTGACAGGAGACCATGATGGACCACGCCTTGCGCACCATCTCCTACATCGCAGACATTGGGAACATCGTGGTGCTGATGGCCAGGCGGCGCATGCCCCGGTCGGCCTCTCAGGACTGCATCGAGACCACCCCTGGGGCCCAAGAGGGGAAGAAGCAGTACAAGATGATCTGCCACGTGTTTGAGTCCGAGGACGTAAGTAACCGCGCAGGCCTGCCACGCCCCTCCCAACGGCCCCGACTTCACCAGGGCTCCGGCGGCATCCCAGGCTCTTTGGAAACCATGTCTCAGGTAGAAATCCTGTGCACCAACATATATGTTTCCGGTGGAATCAGTGGGGTTTTCTTCTAACACCCGAGTTTGCAGAGATAGGGAACATAGTTTTACTTCACTTTATGAAATACATCCTTCGGGCGCCTGGGTGGCTCAGTTGGTTAAGCGACTGCCTTCGGCTCAGGTCATGATCCTGGAGTCCCGGGATCGAGTCCCGCATCGGGCTCCCTGCTTGGCAGGGAGTCTGCTTCTCCCTCTGACCCTCCTCCCTCTCATGCTCTCTGTCTCTCTTTCTCTCTGTCTCAAATAAATAAATAAAATCTTTAAAAAAAAAAAAAAAGAAAGAAATACGTCCTTCAGGGCTGTTCATAAATTGAACCGTAGTTAAATAGGCCAGGGGCGCTATCTGAAGAAATCCTTTAACACAATCTTTTTCTCCTAGAACAGATTACTCCCTGACTTTTCTGTGGTTAAGATGCACATTTTCACACGCCAGGCTTGCGCACAAGGAGGTAACTGTGCCCGAGGAACAGCTCTGCTTTTGCTCATGGCCATTTTCATGTTGGCATTTAAATACTCCAGACTTGCTGAGAGACCATGATCCCTTTGACTCTTTCCTTCAGTGGGCTGAGAGCATCTTTCTGAGCCTGGAATTGGGAGAAGGGGACCAGAGAAGGGAGCAGGGGGCTGAGTGGTGAGCGAAGGGGACAGTGGGCCAGGTCTCTCTGCTGCCCCCTGGCGGGCAGATCTTGCGGGTGTTGCCAAAGTAGAATTTTGAAAAACCATCGCTTCTCCGTGAATACTTGGAAAGGGGCATTCTTGTTCACATATGGACTTGCAGGGCAGGGACCTGAAGCAGAAGGGAATGGCCCCCAGATTTTTATATTTGAAGGCAGGGCTGAGGGATGGAGGTAGTCATCCTCTTGCTAAGAAGTTGAAGTCATCTAGAAGTGCTTCGAAACGATGGTGTATTGATGGGAGAAGAGAGTGTGTGCTATGCACACACACATTCTTTTCCCCACGATCCAGATCTCCGTGGGCACCCGGATGGGCACTTCTGCGTGACTCAGGGCATGAGGATGACTTAGAGACCTGGTAGGGGGAGATGGGCCCTCGGGAATGGCTGTGAGTGATGGGCAGGGTAAGGCCAGTGGCAAAGGGTACCAGCCCCTGTGGATGGCTGCGGGCTGAGGGCTAGAGTCAGGGGTGCTGCTGTCTGGGGGTGCTGCTGTGGCCCCCCTGTTCTCCATGCAGGGGGAGATAAGGCTGAGGGCCAGCGGAGGTGGGTGTGAGTGGGACTCTGAATGGCCCTTGAACGAGTGAGGGAAGGACCCACCCGGTGGGGTACGGAGGGGTGGACCCTCAGAAGCTGCCCAGAGCGTAGGACCTGGATGGTGGCTCCATCTGGGGGGGGGCTGCTGGGGACAAGTAAGTGATCCGAGGGTCTGGTGACAGCAGACGGAACACCCGGAGAAAATGCAAGGTGGCATTAAGGATAGCAGTGGCTCTTTCTGAGACTCAGTTTCCCTCTATAAAATGGAGCTCAGGCACAGCCGGGCTGAGGCCAGGGTAGATGAGCCACACGGGCGAAAGTGCTGAGGCAAAGCAGTGCTGGGGTATGGCAGCTGCCCTTCCCCCGCCTCACCTCCTGCAGGAGGCCTCCTCTGAGGGCCAAGCTGCCAATGGCCGCCCCTCTCCGAGCCCCCTGCGCTCCCCACTGCCTGCGCGGGGCTCCTGCCCTCACAGCACTGAACACCCACAGCCCTGGCTGTGAGCTGGGGGGCAGGGGAGCCCCCTTGTCTGCAGGGCTGCCAGTGTGTGTCCCCCAGGGCAGCTGGAAGGGACACCGGGACACAGGGCGGATGGGGAAATGGGAGACCGTCACCAGCAGTTGGGGGGGAGATGCCAAGGGCTCCTGGATTGCACCCCAAGGAACCCAAGCATGAATGGCCTCACTGTCCCCAGGAGCTCCTATGGGTTGCGGTGGGGCGCCCAGGCAGAACCCCAGGCAGAGTCCCAGGGCATCGGGCAGTGCCGCCAGGCTATCCATGCAGGGGTGAAGGGAGCGATGCTCTCAGAACTCCTCCCTGTCAGGGGACCACAGTCAGCTGGGGACAGACCCGGCGACCTGGGGACAGCTGGCAGCAAGCTTTGGGACCACAGTGGGGCAGGGCAGGTCCTGGGGTCCCATCCCCTGCCCCCTCCCTCTTCCGGCCTCTTCCCAAGGCCTGACTCCCAGCTTTAGCCAGGGCCCTGGCTACTGCTCTGCTGCTCCTCGGTGCATCACCTTGGGCTCCCCACCCTCCAGTCCACACGTGTCCAGGCCGGGGTGTCTCCCGGTGGCCTCTGGGCACTGCAGCTCTGGCCAATCCGCCCTAAGTGGCGTGGCCAAAATGCCAAAATGCTGGTCTTTGGGAGTGAGCAGGGCTTATTCCTGCCAAGTGAACATCGGCCTGTCCTTCCTGTAAACTCTTCCGGGCCCAGTGTGGGAGGGCAGTTCAATCAGACTCCGTACCTATTTTGGGAAAGCCTTCCATACTCCGGCTCTGCCTTTATCATCCAGCCCAGCCCGCTTTGGTGCAGAGACATACTCATTTGTAGCACTTAAAGCATGCAGTGTGTAGAGGAAGGAAGGGATTTAGGCATTTAGGTCAAATCCTTGGTTTTACCATTTTCTGCTCCTGAGGTTTGCAGGGGGCACCCATGCAGAAGGCCCCTTTGATGGCTATTGGGAGGCAGGGGGCGGCAGGGGGTAGAGCAGCCCTGGGGCTCCCGCAGTCAGGGCTGGGTGGGGAGGAGGCCCTGCTGGGGGCCAGGCCCCTGGGAGCCCTGTTGCTCTCCAGGGCCACATGCTTGCCAGAGTGCTTGGCGTCCTTCCGGGAGCTCGGGACTTTAGCTCTTGCCCCTCAACCATCCCCTGTCTGCACACTGGCTGGTGACAGGCGAAGCCTGGCAGTGACTTTTCAATGTCCAGGACTCTGCAGTGTCGGAGATTCAGTAACGTGCACACAAGTGGTTCCCTGTAGTGGAAAGAGGTGCTTTGCTCTGTAGGGTCTGTGCTGGTGTCTCCAGGTCTTGTGCTTCTCATCAGCCTCAGCCTGGAACAGCCACCCTCCCCCCACAAAAACAGCTGGACACACATGCTGCCTCCCCGGTTGACACTGGGTTCTGTTGCTAAGGAGACATAAATGTTGGGGAGACAACTAAGAGTCTCTGTGACCCTCCTCCAAGAACAAGTCTACTTTTGGAGTAAGGTGGGTGGAAAGAAAATAGAGTAGTCACCAATTAAAACAACAAAATAGGCTATTTAGCAAACAATTCATAATTTTCCCAGACTTTATTTGAAACTGTGCTTTGTCCTGGATGGTTGGGGATGGAAACGGCTCTGGCGGGAGCAGTCAGGACCAGGCCCTGCTGGGTACAAAGCAGCAGAGAGGCTCACCCCATGGCGGCCGGCTGTGGGGTGTTGGCGGGAAGACAGCTATCACCAGAGGAGAGCCTACAGTTTCTCTCTTGTTCCTTTAAGCCCGGGCAAGGGCCCACTGCAGACTTACATGTGCACCCTGCGCCCAGCCCGGCCACGGCCCCTCCTCTCTGCACTGCGTGGTGCGCCTGTGGTTTTGTGCTGGTCACGAGTGGGCTTCTCCCTGCCCACAGGCCCAGCTGATCGCACAGTCCATCGGCCAGGCCTTCAGCGTGGCCTACCAGGAGTTCCTGCGCGCCAACGGCATCAACCCCGAAGACCTGAGCCAGAAAGAGTACAGCGACATCATCAACACCCAGGAGATGTACAACGACGACCTCATCCACTTCTCCAACTCCGAGAACTGCAAGGAGGTGAGCCACGTGCATCGTGGGCGGGCCACGGGATGCCACGCTGCAGTGGCCTTTGCCACCCACGCTGAGCCCCTGCAGACCAGAGCCGCCCGGCGATGCCCCAGAGCAGCTGCCTGGGAGAGGACACGAGAGCGAGCCCTCGAAGGGCCCTCACGCAGATCCCCATCCTCACAGCAGAGTGACGTGCTGCCCAGAATGTACATTTGCTCCTGCCTTCGGAGCTGAGCACTTGGGTGTGAAATGAGGTGGTGTTGTAACAAAGGAGCTGATTACAATCAGTCTTAATGACCTTGAAAATGTGCCTTTTAATGCCACTGTTATCATCTCCTGGGGCTCAGCACCCAGGAGGTGTTTCCGCAAAGCATTTGAGAAGCGTCTTCAAACGGGGGACTTGGGTGTGCGGCGCAGGGGAGTTTCAAAGCTCCCAGAGGTGGAGGCCTGAGCACGGCCCAGTGTGTGCTGCTCAGGGATCTGCAGGGATGTCCTCCTAAGACACGGGAGCAGATACCCTGCAGACGACCCATACCTGACTGCTTGTAAAGAAGTGAATGAAGGAGTAATCAGACTGCTTGTTGAATGAATGAATGAATGAATGAATGAATGAATGAATATGCCTGGCTTCTTGCTGAATGAATGACAGGCAGCTTTCTGAGAGAGTGACCCTTGGGTGGATAGAAGGTAGGACTCTTCTAGGTCAGAGCAAAAGCTGGGGGCAGATGTGAGCCCTGGAGTCTAACATTCTTCTCGCTTCCATGGGTTTGTGGGAGGTGAGAACAGCGGGAGCTAGGACGATGGAGCCGCTGTGCTGGGGCCTGGAGGGGTCCATGCTGGGCACAGGCGGGAGGGAGTCTGTGGTCCTGGTTCCAGCTTGGGAGCCAGAGCTGGGCGAGGCCAGGGGCTAGGCGCGCAGGCCCCCGGCCCCCATCACGGGCCCCTCTCACTGCTCATTTCCTTACAGCTGCAGCTGGAGAAGCACAAGGGCGAGATCCTGGGCGTGGTGGTGGTGGAGTCGGGCTGGGGCTCCATCCTGCCCACGGTGATCCTGGCGAATATGATGAACGGCGGCCCGGCGGCCCGCTCGGGGAAGCTGAGCATCGGGGACCAGATCATGTCCATCAACGGCACCAGCCTGGTGGGGCTGCCCCTCGCCACCTGCCAGGGCATCATCAAGGTGCGCACGCGGGGCCCCTGCCTTGTTTAATTCTCGCTGCCTTGTCTTTTCCCCCTTGACACGTGAGGAAACAGGTCCAGAGAGACCCAAGACCATACCATAGCACTGAAATCAGAGAAGGACCCGGGCTGCCCTTGGGGATGAGAAGGGGACGTTTGGTTTCACTGATGCCAGTTCTGAGTGACATGGACCTCAGGCAAGGGCTGAGGACCCCCAGATGTAGGGTGACCTGGTGTGCATGGGAATTTCACAGGTTAGCACCGAGAGTCCCGTTTCCTGGGCACACGGGGAGGGTGGGCCCCTGCATGGGTCTGAGAGCAGGGAGGCCGCTCTGACCATCTGGCCTGTGAGCTTGCAGCTTTGGGAGATGCTGAGCTGCCGGTCCCTGCTGGGGGTTCTTCACGCCTGGTTGCCCCAGCTCTAGAAGAGCCTCAGGGCAGAAAGCTCGGAGAGGCCGCTCTAAGAGGCCTAGCACAACTGTGCCTTTGCTCTGTCCAGGGTCTCCGGACAGTGGGCTCTGCCTGCTTGGGGGCCGCCCCGGGGCCTTCTGTCTGCATCCTGCCCCCAGCCCCCTGTGGCTTGTTCCCCCCTCCCCCGCTGTGGTCTTGGTGCTGGAGGACACGCCTGTCAGTCTGACAGATGAAGGGCATTCTCGGGGCCAGAGTCAGCCCAGCAGAGCATCTGCCTGACGGGTGACCGCCTGGGAAGCTGGACGGTAGACACGACAAAGGCCTCAGCCCGCGGTACCAGAGGCTTGGTCCGCCTGGACCTCACCTCACAACCGTGGCCTGGGGCGCCCGCTGACAGTCACAGGTCGCCCTGAGGTCGCTGTTGGCTCCAGTTGGCCCAGGCTCGCTGTGGACTCTAGGTCTTCTTGCTTACAGATTTTCACTGAGCCCCTCGCTCCCCGTCCCCACCCCTGCCATTAACATGTTTTATTTTGAGGAAGGCTTCCCTGTGGTCCTTCCAAACAGAAGGTGCTCCTCCTGCATCCAGTGTGGGGAGGGCCCCTCCCATGACCCTCTGAGGGTGACCCTGGTGCTGTCCCATTGGTCATGCACCGTGGTGCACAGGGCCCGGCCTCTGGCTGTGCGTGGTTTTACCTGGCTCAGACGGCACCCACCCAGCCGGGGTAGCCAGCCACCCGCACACGGGTCGCACGGAGGGACGTGGAGGCCGAGAGGTGGCTGACCCACCGGAGCCGTTCCCCAGCACCCAGGGCCCCCGCCCTGCCAGCTGACTCACCCTCAGTCTGGGCCTGTGAGCTTGTGCTCATAGGTGGCATCCCAGGCTCCCTGTGATGCCTGCCCCATCCTGCAGGGTCTGAAGAACCAGACGCAGGTGAAGCTCAACATTGTCAGCTGTCCACCGGTCACCACGGTCCTCATCAAGCGGCCGGACCTCAAGTACCAGCTGGGCTTCAGCGTGCAGAACGGGATCGTGAGTCTGCCCTCTCCTCCTCGGCCACCTCCACTGCGCATGTGTGGGCCTGGATGCAGGGGGCTGGTGAGGTGGGGGGTGCTCTCCACCCCCCTGCCCCTGCAGCCGCTTCTGTCTGACAGCACAGGCCCTGGTGGGTGGGCACAGCTGGGCAGGAGCTTTGAGCATTTCCTGGGGCAGGCCTGGCCAGGGAGGGAGGGCTGGTGTGTGGCCAAGGAATGGGTCCCTCCAGCCCTGCTCGAAGCACCCTTGTCCCCGTGACGGCTGTTCCAACCACTGCAGTGTGGACACATCCGGCCAATGGCAACATCTGACTCTGTGCTCAACAGATATCCACTCATTCACTCATTCATTCACCCATTCAGAGCCATCCGTGAGGTGCCTGCACTGTGTAGGCACTGAGGAAGCAGGAGGGCTTCCAGGAGGAGGTGATTCTGGGCTCGAGTGAGTGTTGGTCTGCCCAAACATCTGTGCCCGTTCCTCAGGCCAAAGCTCTCAGTTCAGAGTTCCTGCCTTTTCTTTTCTTTTTTTTTTTTTTTAAAGAATTTATTTATTTATTTGACAGGGAGAGACACAGCGAGAGAGGGAACACAAGCAGGGGGAGTGGGAGAGGGAGAAGCAGGCTTCCCGCTGAGCGGAGAGCCCGACGCGGGGCTTGATCCCAGAACCCTGGGATCATGACCTGAGCTGAAGGCAGACGCTTAACGACTGAGCCACCCAGGCGCCCCCAGAGTTCCTGCCTTTTCTTTGACCCATGTTTGGCTGGAGTGAATCTGTTTCCTTGGTCATCCCCCGTGAAAAAGGTCCCAGTGGGCAAAGACGCGGCCACAGATGGAGGACAGAAGAGGCGAGGCCAGTCACTTCCAGATTGCTTAAGCCAGCTTTGAGTAATAACTGAGGAAGAGGTTCAGTAGGTGGGAGTCGTGTCAGGGGAGGGGGGATATGGATGCCTGCCCATGAGCACAGAAGAGACACAATGGGAGAACATTCTAGAAAGACAACTGCAAACGAGTCAAAATTTTCCCTGTTGCTATCTGGTATAGAAGTGTGGAGAAGTACGTGGAGCTGGGGAGAGTCCCAGGGCCATTTCTGTCCCTTCTGGGTTAGTGCGCCCTTGCTGCTTTAACAAGTGTTCTCCAAATCTCAGCATGCTAAGAGTTGGTTTCTCACTCGGGTCACAGTCCACTGGGGGGGGCGGGTCTTTGCTCCACAGAACCACTCGGGCCCCATCGTGCCATCCCCTGGCTTTTGGAGGCCCCCACTAGCTGCTCTGTGACTGGCTGGCAGCTACAGGGAGATAGGGACCCAGGTGTGGCCCTTGCCATTTCTGGTCACAGCTCACTCGCCCGCACAGGACTCAGTCCCACGCCCCACAAAACATAGGGCAGGCTGGGAAGGTGGCCATCTGGTGCCCGTGACAAAGAGGGAAAGGGTGTGGGGGCATCTAGCCAGTGTTGGCCAAACCTTCCTAGCTACACGTGTGACCCTGGGCGGGTCACTTCACCTCTCTGGGCTCTCCTCAAAATGTGGTTGTGAAGATTAACAGAGAAAATCCATAAAGTACATGGAGACATTTAAAGAAGGCCCCCCGGGCCTGGATTCTGCAGAGGAGAAAGGCCCCTTGGCACTTGCACCCGGGCATGGGGGCCCAGCTAGGTTGTCCGCATCCCCTGGGGGACTTCTGTCCAGGTCAGTGCATCTGTCCCAGGAGCTGGCCGGGTGGTGGTGTGGCCTGGCCCTGCCCTGCCCAGCCCGTCTGCGTACGCACGTGCCCGGGCTACAAGTAGCTGCCCTAGGGGCTCTGCAAAAATAAATCACCCGGGGTCTCTGGCTGCAGCAGCTGTGAGCACTGTGGGATGAGCACGGGCCCCATGCTCAGGGAGGCGCTAGGAGGGGCCTTCTGACCTGCCTCCCACGTGCCAAGCCCTCCCCCAGGGCCTGCCTGGGAGCCATGCTGCTCCTTCAGAAGTGCCGCCCTCCCAGGCTCCCATGCAGGGCCGTGAGCCCAGGACAAGCCCGATGCCACCCCCTCCCCAAACCCCTGCCTCTCTTCGGCTTGTCTCATTACAAGGGCCCAAGGAGGAGCGTGGCTACTCGTGAGGAGGCGACTGCCACACACAGAGGTTCAGTAACTCGCCCCGGGGCCCACAGCCAGGGAGGCCATCTGGGACTGAGGGAGAGAAGGCAGGGGACAGGGACAAGGAAGGAGCGGGGCTAAGTTAAGGCAAGCCGGAGAGGATGGGGACGCCATCCCTGGGGAAGCAGCGGTGCGGGACAGGTGCAGGGGGGTCTGAGGGGACACGTGAGCCTTCCTTCTGAGGCAGCGGGAAGAAGGCAAGGTGGCTGACGAGGGGGCTCTCCTGGGGAGGTGAAGGGGGTGGCCTCTGCAGGTGGGGACGGGCACGCTGGTCCACGTCAGTGGCTGCGAGGCTGAGGGCAGTGAGGAGGGCAGAGGCGCTTCTCGGAAGGTTTGGCAGGTGTGGGGATAAAGGCAGCAGCAGATCTAGGCTTTGGGGGTCTCAGAGCTGGGGGGAAATGATACCCGGTTCTGCAGACAGCATCGCCTGGGCTGTGCCCCCCGGGTCTCAGACGCCCCGACAAGAGTCCTGAGGCAGAGTGCTGGTCACTTCTTGGTGCCTCCGCCACGGGTCCAGGGTGTGTGTGCAGCTTGGGGCCTGGGGGCGACACTGGATGAGAGGCAGCGGGGGTGGGGGGCGGTCGCAGAGAGCTGGGGGCTGCGGTGGTTCTTGGGACGTCCTCCCCAGTATGTGGCAGCTGGCCCTGAAAGCGCCAGGGAGGGTTTTAGATAAAGCAAGTGAATCTGCACGGATTCTCCTGCTGCGACACCCCCCCCCCCCCCGGCCCAGAAAACGGCGCAGGCGGCTGCAAAGATCAGGCCCCCGGGGAGCTCGGAGGCCCTGGTACCAGGCAGCTGCGCCCACAGCCGCTGCTCAGGCCGTGTCCCAGCGGCTGATGAAGGCCACAGGCTCCGTCGCTCAGCGGGGGCCGCGTGGCAGTGGCAGGAGTGTGTTTGGGAGAATATTTAGGAGGCCGGGGGTGCTGGCTCTTCCTGACCGAGGGCTGGCTCTGGGGACACAAGAGCTAGGCTTCGCCCCTCACAGCGTGGTCAGGTCCGACCTCGGCTTCCAGCCCGCTCAGCCTCCCCAGAGGGGCCTGGCCTGGTAACCGTCCCCTCCCCTGTGGTCCCCTGCCGCCTGCAATGGTGGAGTGTCCCCTGGCTGACCACCGGCCCCCTTGTCCCCAGTGCCCGTGAGGCTCTCAGAGGTCCCCTTCGACCCTCGCTGAGCCCCACGTGGAGTCCTGGCTCCCGGGAGCCCCTCCGCCCCGCCTGACCACAGCAGGGCCGGAGGGTGGCAGTCGCCTGGCTAGGAGATGGCATTCGTTAGCTCCTGGGCACAGCCCCAGCGGTTTCATGCCTGATCGCTGCAGAAGCTTTTCCCGTGGCAGGTGGCCGTCGTCCGTGTGCAGGGTGAGTGGTCCCAGCGTGGGTGGGGGCGTCTGCGGAGATCTGGGTGCTTTCACGTGAGAGGAGAGAGGGAGGGTCCTCTGCACAGCTGCTTGTGTGCACATACGTGTACGTGTGTACGTACGGGGGTTTGCACGTGCGTGTGCACGTATTGCGTACCTGTGTGTGTTTGGGGGAGGTGCTAGCCTGGGCCTCGGCCTCCTCCTGGAGCTTAGCGTGGCCTGTCTTTTCTCCAGAACGACAGGCCCGCGTGGCTAAGAAGCTGTGTTACATTTTGGAATCGGCCTCCCTCGCTCCCTTTTCTTCCAGGCCCCGCTCTCTCCAGGGGCATCTGTTTCTTCTTTTGTCTGTTTCAGTTGTGGTAAAATCAATTAACATTTAGCATCTTAACCGTTTTTCAAGCGTCCAGTATGTTGTGCAGCCCTCTCGAACTTGACCACTCTAGGTGCCTCATAGACATAAGTGGAATCAGACAGTACTTGCCCTTTGGAGACTGGCCTTATTTAACTCCCAGCATAATGCCCTCAAGGTCCATCCACCTTTTAGCCTGTGTCAGAATTTCATTCCTTTTCAGGGCTGAACAATATTCCCTTGTGTGACCAGACCACGTTTCATTTGTCCATTCATCCATCAGTGGACATTGGGTTGCCCCCGCCTCTTGATGGTGGTGAATCATGCTGCAGTAAGCATGGTGTGCAGGACTTCGTTTTTCCAGTCTGTCTAGTTTCATCGTTGCAAATACTCCTAGGCCCCCTGGTCCATCTGTCTGGGGTGTCAGTCCATCGATCAGTTCGAGGAACCAGGAAACGAAGGCCACCCATGGGGAAGCTCTTCCCACAAGCTTCGGGCATCCCTGGGCAGCTGGTGTCTGCAAGGCTGGTCCAGTTAGGGAATGGCATTTTCTGTTACCATTTCTCAGAGGACGAAGGAACAGGGAGGTCAAGGAACTTGCCCCAAGGCTCCCAGCTGGGAAGCGGCAGAGTAGGGATTGGGCCTGAGGCCAGCTGTTGTGAAGAGCATGCTCACACTCCCATGGCCCATCATCAGATGCTTGTACAAGGGGCCAGGGGGCGAGTGTGTGCACGGACTTCGCAGCACTTGTGAGCGGTGCAGAGGCCGATACGTTTGTATCTAAGGCCCAGGGCGTTAGTAACCGACGTAAGTGTACACGGGGCCCTGTTTATGGCCTCGGTGGTGGGCCCGCTCTTCTCTCCTCTCACTAAGACTGCAGGGACTGCTGTGCCTCCCAACAATGTGGTGCCACGCGGCCAAGTTCCCCTGAATCCCCTGGAAAAGTTTGCTGACATCTGAGTTAGTCTTGCACAAGTGCTTTTTCCATTTTCAGCTCTATTACACCCAAAGTACAATGCATTAGTTTGCAGACAGGCCCCGGGTGACCCAGTTAGTGCTGTTTCTAAATGGATCCTTCCTCTCTTTCCAAAACACCACCATTCAAGAAATCAAGACATCTCCCGCGGGGAGACACCAGCCTTCTCCCCCGCAGAAGTGCACCCCGTGAGGTTGGAATGCACCCTGGTTCCTGTGGGCATGCCTCATTCGGGAAGGCCAGGACCCGTGTGTGTGTGTGTGTGTGCACGTGCGTGTGCGCGTGCACACAGCTTTCTCCTCAGCATGTCCTGCTCCCCTTCTGTCCTCTCCCCCCGGTCTGCCCCCCAGATTCCAGCTGGGGTCACTGCCAGGGTCCAGGTCCATCCTCCTGGTCATTCCCTCTAAAGGGGCAAAGCCGCATGTCCTGCTCCCTCTTCACTTTCTTTCCCCGACTCTCGATGACTAGGGAGGAGGCTGCCAGCAGGGGTGTAACCAAGCCGCACCTTCTACGGACTGTCCCAGCTTCTTTGCCTGGGAGCACGCCGGGCCCTGCCTGACACTTGGGAAGGCCGGGAAGCGAGCCTGGTCACCCTGAAGCAGCTTCCTCGGGACCTTCAAAGAGCCAGTTACAGTGGGCACAAAATACCCTTAAATCGTTTGGGGGGCAGACAAGGAATAGACGTTACTCCTTAATTCTCGTATGGAGAATTGGGGCAGTCAGGTAGGCCACCCTGCTTGTCTCTCTCTGCCGGCCCCTGGTGAGCCCCGTCTGAGCCGAGTGCTCGGGCTCCAGGACTGTGACCCGCTCTGCGGCAGGAGTCTGGTTGGCCGGGCAGTCGTGGCCTGGGACTGTGACCTCAGGCCGTGCATAGGTCTCCTCCTGGAAAGACAGAGACCCCGAGGGCTGGGAGGGACCCACACGGTTGGTTGAGAAAGGCCTGCGGCATCAGTGACAAGGCAAAAATCCACAAACCAAAGAACAGGTGGGAGTCCTGCATATGGTGCCAGGGTCAGCCTGCGGGCAGTGGCCTTCTGAGCCTGTCTGGGCTTCAAAAGTTGCCACGCCAGGTCCTGAGGGAGGGAAGGGGGGTAGGCGAGGGGGGAGAGCCGTCCTGTCTAAGGGGAGCGTCATCCCCCGGCAGCCTTGGAAATCAGAGGCCCCGGCTGAATGAGCAGGCCTGGCCAGGGCTTGGATGTGAGGTGGCTCTGACACAGGCAGGAGTCCCGGGGGTGCAGCCGGGGGGTGTTCGCCGCAAGGCACAGAGGCGGGTCCCCGATAATGTTGAGCCTTGCCGTGGAATGAGAAGAGCAGTGAGGTGCACAGAAGGGCTCGGCTGTCCTGCCTGCATCGACCACCACCTGTGGCTGGGCCTCCTGCCGGCGGCCGACCCTTGAGCTCTTAGGGTGCTGACCTGACTCACCCTTCCTGATTCTGGCTTGGGGTCCCCTGCCTTCTCAAGTATGAAGATGCCTTAAAAAGTGACCAAATCCTCAATGAGACAAGAGCCACAATCGCAGTGTTTTCAAATTAAGGAAAGCGTAAGGACAAAGGCACCATGAATTTGGCGAGGCCTTTAGATGATGTGGGGTGGCCCCAGGCACTCAGGGGACAGGGCCCAGCCAGCCTAGGCCACTCCTGCCTGGCTCCGGGCTGGGCCTTCCTCATTCTCCAGCATGGCTGGTGGGGTGCGGCCCTCCAGGGCTGCTGAGCTAATGCTGGGGAAGGGGCCACCAGGGTCTGGCCAGTGCTTGCCAAGGTGCCCGGGGTCAGGTGCCGGGGCAGAGTGCACCGGAGAGACCTCCGGCGGTGGGTGGGCCTTCAGGAAGCCTCACCCCCAGGGTCCCTGCTGTTGGACCTGCTTCTGCCCTTGCACTGGGTTGTTGGAAGCAGCGTGGTGGGGAGGGACGTGGTGTCCTCTCGGTTCGCTCCCGCCACTGCATCTCCAGGACCAGCATCCCTCCTACAGAGCCATTGGGGTGCAGCCGGCCCACCTTCTCCCCTGAGCCAGCAAGCCTCGTCTTCTAGGGTCTGCCACCATCTCCCCGTTGTGGTGGGAGAAGGGTGGGCGGGTGTCCACACCTTTCTGATGTCGTGATCTTTAGTGAATTCCACACGTGGGTGGATTTCACAAACTCAGGGCCTTCATCATCATTTTCCCAAACTCTTTGTGGTTATCGGCTCGTGAGTTCATCACCTCCTTGTGAGATGGGAACAGTGACTTCTTCGCTTGTAAGAGGAGCAGATGGGGCTGGTGGAGAATCTTCCAGAATGTGCGTCCACTGTGCACACCACCAGCCCTTTCCACTCCCCTGACGCAGGAACAGAGGCTCTGGGATGGCTGGGGGCGGGGGCGGGGTGGGGGGAGGCACAGGGAGCAGATCCCCGGAGGGCCTGCGAGGTTCTCCCACAGGCCATGCTGTTGACTTGTGTTTTTTAACCTAGTCCAAATCATGAACGTCCCCGCTGGTGAGTCAGCAGATTGCGCGTAGAAGCATTTGTCCCATGGGCTTCTCCCTCTGTGTGATTCATGTCCCTGCTTCCTGCTTGGGGACTGCGGTGAGCTCCCGGCGGGTGTGGCGGGGACTTGTGTGCTGACCTGACACGTGTCTGCCTAGATCTGCAGCCTCATGCGAGGGGGCATCGCAGAGCGAGGAGGCGTCCGAGTCGGCCACCGCATCATTGAGATCAACGGGCAGAGTGTGGTGGCCACGGCCCATGAGAAGATAGTCCAGGCTCTTTCTAACTCGGTCGGAGAGGTAAGGCCGCGGCCCGTCGTCACCCTGCTGGAGTCCGACCCGGAGTCTAGGGCCCTCTGAGCCCTACATTTCCGAGCCCAACATCTGTGCCCCTGAGGGGGCTTCTAGGAGGTGCTCGGGAAAGCCACTGGCCCCTTCCCAGAAAAACCTTCCTTCTCGGGAGAGCCCGCCCTTGCTGGGACCTTGGAGCATGCCTGTGCTGGTCATGTGCTCCCACCTTGACCTCGGCCTGTCACTCCCTCTCCAAGGGGTGCTGGGCATCAGCCGAGCCGGCGGGGCTGTGTCTCTCGCCCAGGGAGTGCCGGGGACAAGGATGAGCAGAGCGGCGGGCGGCCTTTGCCTGTTCATTCGGGTTCTGTGCGGCGGACAGGAGGGCGAAGGTGGTGGCCGCCGTTTCTGGAACTGGGTCTTGCGTGCTCCTTGTGGCAGCCCTGCCCGCTGCAGGCCTCACCCCCCAGGGCGCAAGGCTCTGGGCTGGGGTTCGCCCCTCTGCCTGCTTCCTGCCCACGGAGCTGCTTCACCCTTTCCTGCACCGCTGGCTTTAAACTTCCTCCTTTTCTAGTTCTTTCTGGCATCCCTGCGATGCCAGCTTGAGGTGGACAAGGGTCAGAGCGGGGGGGCACAGGTTTCCCCAAGGAACTCACAAGTGAACAGGGTCATTCGGGGTGAGAAGTAAGGTGCTCAGAGTCTGCGGAACCGGGGTCCGGAAGGAGGCCTCCCCCAGCGCCAATGTGTGTGGGTGTTAGCGGCAGTGGGGGCGTGTGAAGGGGGAGTCAGAACGAATGGGGTGAGGGTCCCCCCGGGACAAGCGCGGGAGGCTGAGGCCACTGCAGAGGTGGGTCGGCCGAGGGGAGAGTTGCAAAGGGCATGGGTGCCCAGTGTGGGGGGAGTGCCCATTTGGTTCTCGGGGCTGTGGAGGGCCCCGGGGGCTGAGCAGGGCAGGGGCAGGCTCAGGCTCTGGCGGTGGGAGAGAGGGTGTGGCTTCCATCTTGTAACCACTGCGGGTGAGCTTGGCCCCGGGGTGAGTGGGTGGGTGCTGTTTCCCAGGCGGCTTCTGGCCACATTTGCTGGGGGCCTACTCTGTGTTTTGTGGAACTGCCAGGCTGGGGGAGGAGGCCTGTTTTTCTGGAGGTTGGTGGCGGCAGATGGCTGGCTTTCAAGAGGGAGAGGGGGGCCAGGTAGGTGCCATTCGCCTCCTTTTACAAATGGCTTCAAAGAAAGGACAATCCAATTTTCCCAAGGGGATGTTTGAAACGGCCACCCCACTGGGGTGATCAGCCTCACACCTAAAAGAAGCCAATCAGGTGGAGGAGAAATGTTTCCAAGTCTTCAGACCTGAGACGAATTGGTTCTCGAAGAGGCACAGAGGCAGCCGGGGCTGGGGCTGGGGGATGGAAGGGTCTGCCTGCCGTCTTCCAGCATCCCCGAGCTCATGTGGGAAATCAGTCCCTGGTAGCAAGATGTGAGGTTTGGGTGGGTTTCAGCTTGAGGAATGACACAGAATGTTCTCCTGATGGAAGAAGCCATGCTTCTTCACCATGGATGGTGGTGGCATTAAAATCTAAATTGATCACATAGATCCTGGGGGGGGCGAGCCGGGAGCATGTGACACTGTGAAAACCATCTGCACGATTGGCCCCTCTCTGGGTTGGTCAGACGGGGGCCTGAGACCTGCTTGCTGGAGGAGGGGCGGCCACACCATGCCCCCCCCCCCACCGCCTCTTGCTGGGCACCGGGAGGGTGAGGCCCGCCGCACGCATGCCATCCAGACCTCGCAGAGCCACAAGGCCTGAGCCTGGCATAGTCCTGGGAGCAGGGTACTAAGAGGAGATCAGAGCAGCAGGAGCAGAGCCCAGCTCCTGTGCTTCCACTGGTTTAACTCTTCCTCCCAGAGCCGTCACGGGGTGGGGAGGGGGGGCGGGAGGCGCACAAGGTCACTCTCCCTGGGGCGCCATCTTGAGCCTCACTGCTTATGTACCCAGCCCCTTGGAGGCAGAGAGTGAGGCCAGGCTCCAGAGGCTCATTTGCTGACCCCCAAAGAATGGGGGGGGCAAGTTCTCAGACCCCAGAACACTCACGTTCCCTGGCTTCCTGGGAAGGGTTTCAGAGGCTTAGGCACCCTCAGCTGCTCCCAGATGAGTGGGCAAACCGTAGTCACAATTAAAAGTCTGGTTTTTTGCCCCTCTGCTGTCAGCTTGAGCTGAGGGGCAAACTAGCACTTGAACGTGTGTGCAAAACCCTCTGGAGAGCCCGTTGGAGAGGCCAGCTAGGAGTCTGCCGCGCCAGGAAATGCTTTCTAACCCTCCGTCGAGGTGGTCATTCCTCCCTCACTGGGCAGAAAACCCTCAGGGGGGTCCCGAAGCGAGCTGGCTGCCGGAGTGTTGGATTTGCGTTGGTGGCATCTAGGGGCCGTGGGAGGCCAGCGTGGGAGGCCAGCGAGGGAGGCCAGCGAGGGAGGCCAGCGAGGGAGGCCAGCGTGGGAGGCCAGCGAGGGAGGCCAGCGTGAGAGGCCAGCGAGGGAGGCCAGCGTGGGAGGCCAGCGAGGGAGGCCAGCGAGGGAGAGCCGGTTCAGCCCCCGTCTCTCGTTGACAGATCCACATGAAGACCATGCCCGCTGCCATGTTCAGGCTCCTCACGGGCCAGGAGACCCCGCTGTACATCTAGGCCCACCCAGCCTGCACCGCCCAGCCCGCCTGGGTTCAGAGGAGCCCGAAAGGCTGGACCCAGGACCTGACCCCTGACCCCACAGCCCGCCCAAGGACACTGGCTCCTCCGAAGGGCGTGCCCTCACCACCCACTTTTTTTTTTTGGACAAAAAGGGGGGATGTCTTCATCAAAGGAGAGTCACAGGAAGCATCTCTGTAGAACAGTCACGTGTTTTGCCCATTTTGACCCGTCTTCTCGTTGCGACGGACAAGGCTGTTTCTCTGTAGCTGTGTGTGGTGTGGAGTGTGTCTTTCCTCCCTGAAGCCGTGGAGAGCGGACGTGAAGGGAGCCCCGCCAGGACAGCAAGCTCCTTCCCGGGACGGGGGGCCCTCGGGGTGCTTCGGGGGAGGGCGATCGCGCTGCTGCAGCTGCCCGGATCCCGGGGTGTGACTTGTAAGTGAAGTCCGGGAACATGTGATTGTACTGAACCAGAAGGGAGACGGTCCTGAGTTAAATAAAAGATGATGGCCACAACATGGAAACTCCATATTTATTTAGACACTATCACGGTTTTGACTTTTACTTTGACAAGCCATTCTTCAGACTTTAGGATTTCCGGGTGACCCGCCCGCGCACCTACCGCTCCTGCCCTCACCCGAGGCTCCGCGGCTCCGCGGACTTGCGTGGGCACGCCCCCTGCTGGCCGTCTCTCCCCGCCCCTCGGGGGCGGGGCCCGCTGGCTCCTCCTCCCAGGGACCCGGGGCGCAGCAGCGGCCGTCTGTTTCCAGCCTCTACACACACACACACACACACACACACACACACACACACACACGCGAGCTCCCCCACCCCCCAAACGCCGAACCCACCCTGGCGGACTCTGCCACTCCCGGGGCCGCTGGTGGCGAGAGCAGGTCACTGGACGAGCCGGGCGTCGCCGCGAGCAGTATTCGAGCGTGTGTAGATGAAGTGAAACGTAGTCTAGTTCGGGTCGTTAGAGGTCATTGTTAACTGACGTCCTTTTGTCTGGAAGTCTCTTTTTTTGGCCCCGGCCTTGAAGAATACACTGTGACTTAAGAAGCCTTACCATGCAGTAACTAAAGCTTTAGGATTACTGTATTCAAGGAGTGACCTGTGTGTTGCATGCAGCCGACCTTAGGAAGACTCGCTAATAGCACTAATAAAGCGGAAGTCCTGACGAAAAGCGGTTTGTGTGGCTGGTTTGTTAGCGGAGGAATGGATGCCCGACCTCCCTCCACCTCGAGGCCTTACACGTGCCTCTGCAATGGTGCTGTGTTTGCTGAGAGCATCCCCTTTGGGTCTGGGGCCTTGGGGGGGCTCTTCCCGGGGAGGTCGGAGGGGTGGGTGCTCCAGCACCCGGTGTGAGGCCCGCCCCCCCGCCCCCCCCAGTCCCAAGGAGGAGACAGGCTGCTAACTGAATAAGGGAGAGAAGGAGCCTTGCCATTCTCCTGGTTTAAATTTCGGTGATTCCAGGAGAGGTGAGTTATATGCGTGTGTATCTGTAAAACAAAGTTGGACCATCCATCCCAGTGGCGTCTGCTTACCTGGAGGGTCCTTTGTGGCCTGTCACCTGGCGTAGGGAGGTGGGGGAATGTGGGCTTTGATCAGAAGGCCGGGGGTGGGGTTTGCCCCCCCCGCGTTGGTCCGGGGAGCTTAGCCTGGTAGGACCCACCTCTGGTCTGCCCACAATCCATCTGCGCTCCAAGCTATGAGCTACTGACAAGGCCCTTCACAGCTAGCCCGAGATGGCCCACACCCTTGGGTGACGAGAGGGAATGTCACCTGAATACAAGCTGGAGGGAAAGGGCGACAGCTCCAGAGAGCCAAGGGGTATGTCCCTGCATTGCCCAAGACAGGGCAGGTGAACAGGCTCCGGAGACAAAAGCCATGGCTAGCAAATGACACGGGGGGCGGGGGGGGGGGCGGGTCCTACCGAATGATTCACAGAAAAAATCCAAATGAAAGACCGCTCTGAGCCAGTGGTCTGCATTCCTCTGGGAAGCCTCGGATGTCACATGCTTGGAGGGGGGCAGCTGTGGGCCAGCCCTGGCGGGCACCCGCCCTTTACCTCCCAGCCCACAGGCCCTGCCCTTTTCTGGAACGATGTTCGGAGACACGGCTGGCCAGCCGCAGGTGCTTCACACTCCCTGGCGGCCGCCTGAGACCCTGGTCTTCAGAGGCACACACGGGCTCTCTGCCTCTCTGTCCCAATTAGACCCGGAGACACAGAGGCCAGAAATAGTTTTTATTAAAACATGGATCATTATGAAAACACCTTGAGGTACATCAAATAAATACGACCTTCAAGTTGTACAAACAGGTCTCCTGTGGCTTGAAAACAATTTCCTATAAATTCTGCCTAATAGCAGCATCTGTGAATCAATACAGCTGAGGGCGGGGGGGTGGGAAACATCCAATTGAAAGCAGTTTTCTGTTACATGGTTTGTTCCAAGCATTCAAGCTGCGTTGTTGTCACCAGCTGAAGGAGACCTTGTGAAGGATGAGTCCCCCGCTTGTTTGCCATAGAGATGGGGTCCAGAGCTCACCCCCCTCAGTGTTCTTTTGCCCCCCCATGCAACTGGCAGTGTCTGGACTGGCTCTGGCCCCCATGCCGAGCTGACCCCATTTGGGTTGTGGGGAAAAGGAGGGAGAGTGCCCAGGACCCAGGCGTGTGCAGGTGGGGGGGGGTCCCTGCAGGTGGGGGTCCCGTGCCTTAGCTTCCTGGGGCAGCCCGCGAGGCTCTGCCCTGCCTGCTGATGCTTTATCGGGAGGAGAGCAGGGAGGCGGTGCACTAGCAAGAGGAACCACATGGTCTGGGCTTGGGGTGCTTGCTGCTGGGCGCCTGGCTCCCAGATGCTGCTGGGCAGAGCAGGGTCTCGGGTACTAGAACTGGCTTGTTCCTAGCGGCTCTAACTGGCACTTCTCTCTTCCCGGGACCTTTCCCGGAAGCCGGGACCCTGGGCCCTGCTGGAGCCCACATGGGCCACCTGGGGCCCCGAGCAGATGGGCAGAACGTTCTAGCTCAGTGGTATAAAACTGGGTACAGTCTCCTCACCTGCAAGATAGAGTTGCTCTGAGAGCAAATGCACAACTGAGCGTGGAAGGTGCGTGAAGGGCAGGGCTCTTGAGAACATCCAGGACTCTGGGCTTCGGTCAGAGCACCCGCTTGTACCCAGGTGGAGGCCCAGGCTGCCGCAGGAGCCCACGATGGCAGAAGAAACACTGTTCCGCTGCAGGGAGGAGAAGTGAAGGGCACAGAGCGCCAGGGCGGGCTCCCAGTGGCCGCTGTCCCTGGCTGCACAATAAAAATACTGATGGCCAAGCTCTACCCCAGAGCTGCGAGTGCAAGGGTGAGGGGCTGGCCTCACTCAAATTGCAGCCACGTCGGAGAGTGCAGGCTTAGCTCCGGGGCTCGGCCCAAGGACACTGCTATGTGCGCCCCCAAGCCCGAGTGTGGGCCCCCCACATGCAGGCGAAAACCCCCCACAGCTTGCTAAGCTCTGGTTCCCACCCCAGGGACATCGAAAATGCCCGGATTCAGAAGCCATGAATGCCGTGCTGATGGGCTCAGGGGAGGCTGCTTGGAAAAACCATCAATTAACTGTACCAGCGAAGGGATTTGCTTTGGGCACGGGGAGGGATTTCAAAAGCCCTCGGCTGAGAAAAATGAGACAAGAGATTTCCCATTTTGTAGTCTGGATAAAGTGCTCATAATTCATCTCTGGGATTCTCCCGTGGAAAAGTTCTGGTTGGCATCAGAAGGCCTGATGGGTATTCTTCCAGTTCTGTCATCTCAGCCAGAGGCGAGGAGGCAATGACCAAGAACATTTACTGAAGCCAAGTGTTCAAAGCTGACCGTCACTGCAGGCTCCCCGCACCTCCGTTGCTGGGGGCTCCAGGCGTCCGGACCGCAGACCCTCCCCACCGGCCCCTTCCCAGTGCCAACGACATGACGTCCCCAGCATGTTGGCTACAGTGGGGCGCAGAGCAGAGGGCAGGGCAGCCCACGGCCCCTAGACGCTGGACGCCAAGCACGAGTGGGCAGCGGTCGGCTCCCTCCTCGCGCTCCCCATGCCAGGCCCCTGGGCTCTCGGTTGACAGCTGTGGGTTCTGGGCTGCCTTGTTCAAGGCAGGGCCATGGCACGGGCACTGGTGGACACCGCTGTGGATGGCAGAAGGACAGGCGTTCCCACGGCTGCAGAAAGTTCTGGAGGACCATGCTGCTCCAGGGCTGTTGTGGGAAGTGGCTGGTGTGAATGTTGCCAGAACATGAGGGCCGGTGGGGAGGGGGTGGGGGGCCCAAGAAAGGCAAAGGCCCAAGCTGCCGCTGCAGGGAGGCGGGGCTGGCCTGCTTCCACGTACCCAGCTCGGCGGGTGCTGTGTGGAAAGATGCTTTACAACCTGCGTCTTCTGCTGCCTGGCTGGGAAGCGGATGCTCTGGGTCATCAGCGACCTGCTTTCTGAGGAGGCGCACAGATCCTGGGGTACGGGCCTCTTCCCCCAGACCTCCACCCGTCCAGGCCGTCCTGGGGAGGGCAGACGCAGGGAAAACCCCCAAAGGGGCTCCCCAAGAGTGTCTGCAGAGGAGGAGACAGCCAGAGAGACAGTGGGGAGGGTACCCCATGGAGAGGTGGTGGGGAGGGGAGGCCCAAGGGACCAGGGGACCTGGGTGGGGTGGGGGTGTCCAGCAAAGCTCCCTGCCACACCAGCTTGCTTCCCGGAGGCGGCCAGGCCATGCTGAGGTCTCCTAATGTGATTCGTAGGCACGACAGCCCTGCATCCTGCGGCGGAGAGCTGGGCCCGGGCTGTCCTTCGTGCCAGAATTATCCATTTTCTTTCCAGGCAGCACACGATAAAGGGTAGATTATTGAGTGATACAAACCATAGAAGAAAATGGTCTCATTTTACTCGATATCCTCCTCTATCCACTAAACACTCAACTGAATCGCAGGTGGGGGACAGTCTTGCTTTTTGACGGCCCTGATTTTGAAGATACTTAGCGTCTCTAGTGTCACCTGCCACTGTGTTCCCAGAACGCTGGGTAGGTGCTACGTGCCTGACAAAGCCGAAGAGTTCGCGGTGGCCACGAGAGTCATTTTTCTGTATTAGCGGAATAGGTAGGAAGTGTCATCCCCAAGACAACTGACCGGATCCTCCTGAAGAGAGGGACGGCAGCTCATGGCCTGGGCCACCCTGAGATCTGGGCCGCAGGCCCCTCCCCGCCAGCACAGTGGCCTCCAGCAAGGACGCGTGGGCCCAGGCCCATCTGGGTCAGGACCCGTGGCCTGGTCACACCTGGTCCCGAACGCCGGCGCTGAACACGGCCTCCTCCCCGTGGGGCTCCTCAGGGGGGCCGGCCGGGCGGAAGGTGCCCACCACGTGCCGCACCTCGGGAGGGAGGGCACAGTTCGAGTGTTCCAGAAACTTAGCCACCAACACCCTGGCGTCTGTGTGGCCCTTGCTGTCCACTAGAGAGTGTGGCCGCTCTTTGCAGACCGTCTGTAAGGTCTCTGGCTTTCCCCGCGGGTCGCCTTTCCGGGGATCCGGTGGCCCAGGGGGCGAGAGCGGGCGCCGACCTGCACAGGCAGCCGCGACAGAGTGAGCTCGGGAAACTAAAAATCAAGGGAAAAGATAACATCTGAAAACAACCAAAACAAGACAAAAAGCAGCCGTTAAGTGAGTTCTTGACAAAGCAAACGCAAGCCTGCTTGGGACACACTTTCGGCTGGCATTTCCACGTCCCTGGGCTGGCGCACTGGGCGTGTCCCTGCTTCCTGGGTCCCTTCATCCCCAGTGTGGCCCGGCCCCTGTCAGCCCTGAGTTGAGCTGGGGTTATAACCTAGAGGGGCCACAGCCCCCCGGCGCTGAAGGGCTGGAGATCCGAGGGCAAAATGCGAAGCGGGTGGGGCAAGAGGGACAGGTGCAGGTGGGGATCCCCCTTGCCTTCGTCTCTCCGCTGGGGGGGGTTGCTTCTCGGCCTTGCTTGGCTCAGTGACCGTTGCCCTTGTGGGTCTGATGGCATCTAGAGATGGGTCTGCCTGAAGGCCAGAGCTGGGGGTGACAGAGGGGCAATGAGGGCACCCCCCACCACATGCAGGGCTGACAGCAGCCACTGCTCACTGGCACCAGAGCTCAGAGCACCCGGGGCCCTGCAGGCCAAGGC